TAGCTTCCCTTGTCATTCGTTTCTTCCCGCCCCGTGTTCACGTCCGCCCAGCTGAAGATCCTCCTACTTTCAAACAGATGTACAATGACAGCTCTCGAAGAAGGACATAGATTCGGGCCAGTAAGCCACGCATGTCTCACTTGCATCCCACGCCCCCATCTCTGCTCGGTACTCCCCTCCATTTCTTTTTCTTTTTGTTTTGTTTTTTGGCTTCTTTTTTTCCCTGATCTATCAGAAACTGTGCAAGCTGTCGCGGTGGGGTGACAGGCGTCGGTGCAACCATCGTGCTGAAATAGACAGGACAGTCTGCTAGCTGATTGTCTCTCAGGACACGTCTGTTGATGCTCAGCGCTGTGGCTGCCACACGTTGCCAGCGCTCCCGTACGTCGGCCAGCTTCACTGGGAGGGTCCCTCTCTCGTTCTCTCCCTTCCAAATTGCATTTTATCCCTCGCTCACGCTCCTAGAAAAAGCCTGGGTGCTCCCAAGATTTCATTGGCTGCTTTTGAAGACAGTTCTCCAATATTTGTTTGGCCCGGAGAACCCAGCCGGTTCACCATCAGCTGCACCCATCTGAAACAGACTTTTCACCCCACTGCAGTGCATGCGCGGCAAACAGCCTTCTCACATAAATTTAGGATTTACGTTTTTTGTTGGGGGGGATTTTATCTGTGATGTTTGGAGAATTCATATGTATCACAAGGCAAAAGGCAGTTTTATAACCCCCAGGGTTTATTCAGACCCCTCTTGGAAGTGGCAGACTTACAGCTTTGCTCTGTCGAGTTAATTACACATCAATATGGCTTGGTCTCATTTATGGATATCTTTGATTTTGCACTAAAAGTAAATGATCACACTGAAGCCCACACTTTCTGACATCACTGTCGCCTTTTTATTAGATTTTTTTTTTCCCCAAGGCAAGTTTTATGGTGAATATGTTAGTAAGACTGGATAAGATTAGGGATATTTTATTGGTTTTAAGGAGATATATAGGAATGTAGGCAATTAAGCAACTGGAATAAATGTTTGGACGTCCTACTATGCTTTTCCTCATGAAAAGAGAAAAAAAGAGAATTAATCAAGAGGCAAAATGAAAGTGTATAACCCTATGAAAGCCCACAGTAATGATTCTGGTAATGAACTGCTTTCATCTAAAAGCTATCATCCTTCATTTATGACACACAACTTGCAACTTTGGTTAGTAGACAAGAACAAAGTCCTTTATAATGGCCCTCAGTACATTATCTGTAAATTATGTTAAACCTCCAGTAAAATCACTAAAGTTCTTGCTAAATTGATATCTGCAGGTGTGCATTCCCACAGTTTCCTCCGTCTCTGCCTGAACTGGTGAATGTGAATTTGTGGAAGCATTGAAAAGGGTTGGATTATTATTCTGGATGTGGAAAAAAAAAAAGCAGTGAGTGGAGCAGGGTTAGCAGTGAGTCAGCCCTGTAATTAAAGAGGAGCGATCAATCTGTACCACTGACCACACTACTTATGCCAAGTCCATCGAATGGCTGCAGTAAAGAGCTAATTTAGAACCATTAGGGACTGCCAAGTTTGCAAACAGCCCAGTAATGATGACGGCTGATTCAAGTTCAAGGCTTGGCCCCGGCATCACTGTCAGACCTGGCAGTCGTGAGATGGGATCAGTGAAAGATCTCACATGAAGAGAAAGATGTTTATTTATTTTTTTAATTTCTTCTTCCCGGTCATTTGTATGTTCAATGGACGATGAGTTATTGATCAAATCGCCTTATTTCCTCTGCAGATACAAATGCTTTCATCTGCCAGGAAACCCAAAAACACGGTTTTAAAAAGTCTCCTGCTTTGCAGGATCAAGAGCAACCGACTCTTTGACTTAATTGGGAACATTTCCCTTTCATTAGTGGTCATCTCTGGTTTATTCCTGCACTTTTGCTATTTATATCCCATGGACAACTATTTGCGTTGTCTTGGCTGTCTCGACTGGCAGTCTCCTGCATGAGACCTCAAACACGGTGAAGGACAAAAAGATACAAAGGTACGAATGGTGCTGGCTGGAAGCAGCCAAGCATGTCCTGTATCTCCTTGTTGAGCTCACGATTCAGCCTGTGTGTTTCTGGCAAACAGCCCTCCACCTCCAGAGGGATATGACCTGTAAGTGCGCCAGTGCACTCTTTGCCTGTGATTTCCATGTAGCTCCACTGTGCATGAAATCTTCAACTTCTCCTGCTCTCCCACTCCCGCGTCCCACAATGGCAAAGGCAGGAGCAGTGGAAACAGACGAAGCGGCGGTTAAATGCCAAAAGGAGGTGAATTGTCACTTAACCGCATCAATTAATACTGTTACTTTCTGAAGTTAGCGCCTATTTACAGGCTGTAAAATGTGCTAACAAGTGTGAAGTGGGATTGTTACCTTGGAGAGAGTTGATCTCACCTTTCCTGCAGAGGTTTGAGCACTTTGAGGAGTAACAGGAAAATCGCCTCACTGGGATGAGTGGTATTCAAGTCTGAGACCTATCAGTCACATACTGACAGACTTTCCTATCTAATCTTCCTCGCTCCATATAAAACCTTTTATGGCTGCCTTATATGCTTGACATTTAATTAATGTTTCAGTCATGTGTGGAGGAGAGCGCTGACAGCAAGCCAATAACACGGGATCTTTGCAATCAACTGTCAGGGAACAATCACTGAGACTCCCTTCTTTTTCTTTTTCTTTTTTTTGTCTGGAAATCCCTGCTCATAATGCCTTTCTCATGCTCCCTGTCTCATTTGCATTCAATGCAGTAGCTCTATTCTTAGCATAAGAATAGAATAAACTAATGCGAGCCTCCTGACCTTGTTTCCAATTGCTGATAAAGGACCAGGAGGTGACCACATTCTCACAGAGATTCTTTCTTACTTGCCTAGATCAGCACACTCTCTTGTCTGATCTGCTTGTGCTGACCTGAGATTCCTCTACCTCTCCCACCCCTCAGCATATTAATGAAGAGCAGATGAAAGGGAGCCCGCCAGAATTAATACAGCATCTCAAACTCAAGCACATATAGGAACCAGGGAGTCTGAAATGTCTTTGAAATAGCAGATTTACTGGTCCAGCTGGCCAGAGCTAGAGTTGTCTGGTCTAGTCAGAGTACAGACTTTATGTTCCCACACGGGTCTGATTCAGTCATTACTCATTGTAAATGTCTGGTACTGATGGGTGTGTGTTTTTGCTAATTCCTAGAAGAAAACATTTACCTTGTTTTGAATCAATAGTGTTGTGCATTTCAAAAGCATGAGTCATTAGAGCAAAAGGCCAAAATGCCACCCCAGCCCACTGATAAATTACAGCGAGGAGAAAAAGATTACAAAGAAATGGAGGATTAATACGATTTCTATATTGACCATTAACCCTTAATCAGAATAACTTGGTATTGCTCAGTTTTTCCACAAGTGTAAAACACAGTTGCACCACAGTCCAAGGCTATATGCATACATAGTTTTAACAAAAAATGAAAATGCCATCAGCAACATCTAAACATCATCTGGTAACTAAATGAAATGTTCCTATCTGTTGTCTAGTTTCTGATGATAGTCAATAGCAGTTCAAAACTTCCAAGGCTGTTCTGTGCACTACATTGCATCCACGGAAGGTAACTTTACATTAAAAAGAAGCCATTAGTGACTAAAACATTTTTCTAAAGAGTAAATGACTGATTTCTTATCTGTGATGGTGAGTTTGGAGGTGGGTTAGACGACATGTGTTTATTTCACATACTAATATTAATGCCAAAGCCAACTATTTCCCGAAGGACCATTGCCACGTCATACCTTTCAACTGTGATTGTTATGGCTGGATGATTAAATGTGAGCTTCGATTTACGAAACATCAAATATACCATGGCGTGTAAGTGAATGAAGCAATATGGGTCTAAGATAAAAACAAGGGAACTGCTGTTTGATCATTGAGAACAATCCCTTTCGCCATCTTCAAACTAATGCTAAAAACAGTCGAAACTATTTCTTTTTCTGTTCTCATCTATTTCATTTCAAGAGTGCGCAACGAAGAATATGATATGCACAATTTATATGGCAATATGCCCTTCTTTAAACCTGCCATGAAAAATAACTTTTGTACCCACTGTCATTAAATCTACAAACAGATCGCAAATTACATTTTCTCTCTTTTCTTGCGTCTGAGCTCTGTTTGACAGCAGAAATCAAACCCTTAACAGCCTTCCATCTAATCGAGATGCTATTGCCAGGGAATATGGCAGCTGCCTGCAGCCTTTGATTTCATCTTGCCCCAGATCTGCATTGCAATGAGCACTCAGGTCAATCAATAATTCACTGCAGTTTCACTTATAAAAAAAGAAGAAGAAAAAAAAAATAGAGAAAGAAAAAAATAGATGGGCTCATGGGTAAATCAGGAATAAGACTTTGATCTGTGCCATTAGAGGCACACATTCGGCTGTGATGCTCTCTATCTGTGTTGTATTTGTCAACAGCGGGGAGAAGAGGAGAGAATTGTACATCTGTCTCTGATCGGGGTTCTGGATTTGGCTGCTAACACTTAGCGCTGACATGTAACTGTACGTGTGTGCAGCGTCTGCTTTGACTGATGGCAGCTGATGGTTATTTTGAGAGTCACGCTGTGGCTCCTGCTTTCTGTGCTTCCAACGACACGCAAAAACCTTTCCTAAAGAGTGGGGTAAACACGTTTTTCTCTGTGATGTCATGTTTGTTTCAAGTAAAAATAAAATCGCTTTTCACTCCGTGAAACATTTTGTCAAAATCATATGTGCATTTTTTATATGGGAACTAATGGTCAAGATCAGATTTCACGCTGTCAAATCTTAACAGTTTAGCCATATTGTAGGTGGTAAATCGCAGATGTTTTGTGTCTATCGATGCTGTATATCAGGCAAAAAGAAACACTCCTCAGTATGTTCTTATAACAAAAGCCTGCTTATCAAAGGCTAACAACATCTCCTTCCTTTTTTTTTCTTCTTTTTTTAAATCTGCGTATCGACAGTTCCTCCAGAGGATCCAGTAATCAGTGGAGGGCCGGTTGTGAGCCTAAGGGCAGGTGACCCCCTCAACCTGACCTGCCATGCTGACAATGCAAAACCTGCCGCTTCAATCATCTGGATCCGCAACAGAGAGGTCCTAAATGGGGCCATGTACTCCAAGGTAAGCACAGAGGTGTGTGTCATACCAGGTATGTTGACCGGCTGGGGAGATTGCAGTGAGCCTGTGTTTTAACTCTTACAATCCCGGTGGTTTTATAGCTATTCGTTTAAGTTATCCTTTTAAAAAGTAAGAAATCTCATTAAACAGAATAAAAGCATACAGGAGTCTATATTTTTCTTTGTAGGGAAATAACCATACCACTCTGCAAGGAATCTGAAATGATGCCCCAGCCACTGGCGGGCCATTGTATAAACATGGAAAATGCTTTTTCACATAAAATCCTTTGGGTGTCCAGGTTCTGGTTTGATTGCAAAATTCTGCCTTTTCTCCGGTACACAAAGCAGATGGTAAGATCACGGAAGGATCAACAACTTTGCATCTCATTTTTGGGTTTATATTTCTTCCTTCAGCAGCTCGTATCATCCCAACCTGTCAGATTAGGCAGCGTCCTGACTGAATCTCTGCACGCTGCGTTCCTTCAGTTGACAGGGGATGCAGTCGGGACTCACTCCGTAGACTCCGTAGACTGTTAAATGACATTAGTGTTCAAGGCTAATCGTCCAGTTGAACACTGATGAGTTCTATTTCGGTTGAAACAAAGCACATAAAGAGACCAGGCACATTAGAGGGAACACCTCCCCTGTCCTCTCTCACTCCCGGTTCTGCCTCGTCCCATTATTGGCTTTTTTCAAAGAGCAGATAAATGCCATTGATTGGACTGTTGTACAGCACCAGGCCATTCTGAATGAAGTGATTGCTGGAGGTGCTGCTTGCTAATGGTGGGTGGGGAGTGTGCTTCCTGCTCTCTCTTCCTCCTTGGAGCTGATGGAGATATGAAGATATTCGGCCGGTGGTTGATGGATGCTCACATCCCTGCGCCGGGCCCAAAGTATGTGCTTCTCCCCTCTTATCTCTATTGCCTAGCATTAAAAAGCAATGGATTCAATTAAAAGAAGATGACTTTTTTGGGTCCGGGAAGCAGCGGGGGGACATTTTGCAAGCATAATCATCTGCTCTGATGATCTTCTCATATCCCACAGATGAAGAGCTCTAATGTGAGCAGATGTGGTGGAGGATTCACTGAGATGGCTTCCCTGATGGTGTCATATGTAATGATAGTTCTGACCCACAGATAATTTCCCACCAAAGTTCATCTTTGTGACCTCACAGAACACTATTTACTGGACCAATGATTAAAGAAAAAGCCTGCAACTGAAATGGTCATTTGGGGTGAAAAGTGATAGTTTTTTTCCAAAGTTACTGAAATATCTTGATCATTAGTGAAGGCAGCTCTGGAAAAGAAAACGGTGCTATATAATAGCTGAGGGTATTATTAAGAGGGAGCGGTAAGGTGCATATTTCAGACAAAGCTATCCGAACATGTCAGCATAGTAAATTATTGAGTAACAATCATCCTTTCCTAAAATGCCGAACTCCCATCTGCTTGAGCTGAGTTGCTCGGTAGCAAATGGCAAATGTGCAGCCTCCAGGCCTGAGCTGTTGTTCAGAGCATGAGCACTGCCATCGTGACCCTTTTGTATTGCAATGATACATCAAGTCATTTGAAAAACATGATGCAGTCTCCAGTCAAAGAGTCATTCCTGCGAATGTGCTACATGTTTTGTTGAATGCTTTTGCGGTAATCTGACAGATAAACAGGAGACCGGGAAGGTCATATAGTGTTAGGGGGTTTAAATAAAATGAAAGAGAGATGGGAAGGGCATTTCTATTTATAAAGAAGATAATTATATTTTTTCCCCAACTGTTTTCTTTACAGTTTAACATTAAAATAATAATTGATCATGGATATTAATTTCAACAGAGAAAATGTCAATAATTTCATTGCTGGAATTTCATCCTATCACAACACTAATAGCACAGTGATGAATGAAAAAAGTGGACAATTATAAATTCAGCTGGAAATTACTATTTTAGACACGGGTAACCTGTTTTCAGGAGGAGTCATTGCTTTCAACATTATATGCAATACTTAAACCATTTAATGTAATTATCTTTTTAGAACTTTGTTGCTAAATACATGTCTGGCCCAGTTTGCATACATAATACAATGAGAGAAAAAAGTTTCACGCAAAGTATGCTTTTACTTAAAGAAAAAAAACACATGTGCAAGAACGTTAAAAAGTGTTTGATTGGAGATGCGTTTGATCTTATAACAAAGGTGCTTTTAAAAGGTTATCATGAAATTAATAATTCATACATTTTCTTTTGCTTACATGGGAAATTTTGCAGAATCACAGAAAGCCTTTTACCCACATTCCAGGCAGATCACCTCGGTCCATGCCAGTTGTTCTTCCGGCATAAAAATTCAATTATGTTTATGGGTTTTTTTTCTACTTTAGGACCAACAAAAAATATATAATTTGATTTAAGGCAAAAAGCTTTTTTTTGTCTTTTGCTGGATTATTCACAATCACTGACACTCAGAAAACGTGTTTAAGACCTAATAATGCACAGAGAGAACAGACGTTTAGTGTGAACGCTCCAGACCTGTAAGTAACGGGGCATGAGTCATCAAAACACTCTTTTCCCCTGACATTTTAAAAAGACAAGTACCACAGATTTGCAGCCATTTTTATGCCATAGACGGCATAGAACATTGTCCAATTTATTACCTCCTTCTCATCTTTATGCCTCTCTTTGCTCATATCCAGCCTCTTGATTTTCACTGAAAATCGGCCTTGAGAATCTTTGTTGAGGCTTTGCTGAGGGTCATCTGTGTTCACCAAGGACTGTTACTTTTATTCTCGCTGTAATTTACCACTGTGAGTTATTTGTGCATGATTCAGAGTCAACCTAAGACATGACTTTCAAGCCTTTGAGGTGGGTACTGATTGTCAGGCATTTTGTACTTGAGCAGTGTTCTCTCTTGCCATTAAAGCTGTTTGTGGTTTCTCACTGACACATACATTTCAGTGGCACGAGAGTTCAAAGAAAAGTTGCCATCCAAGGCAATAAACTTGTTTTATTTTATACAAAAAAGTATCTAATGGGGTGTTTGGGGATAATTCTGCTTGGCTGGATAGAATCTTTTATTCCCTTGTAGGCACAACTATGTACATCTCTACAATCAGTTCTGCATGTTTTTTTAAACCATCCTGCATAGAAATTCAACATTAAAACATGGAAATTGTTATCATGCTCTCCAGCCATCCATTCTGAGTAGCATTTCAAATCTGTTCTTTTAATTGAAAAGCCCCCATCTTGTCAGATTAAAGTTTGGAGTGGCAGTTGCAATTTTATTTTCAATCAAAATGTTTTTTTTCTGTATCGACACTTTATCTTCTGTCTTAAGTGGAACCCAAAGCAGATTAAAAGAGAGATATGAAACATAATTTCAAAAAGATACTCAAATGATTTTTACCTTGTGCATACTCGAGTTTAGAAATGAATGTCGTCTCAGACGTATCTGAGGGAAAAAAACGATCATTCTGTCACTTTTTACCCACTTTTGTGTTTCTTCCTCCTTATGTGATGTTCTCCATGTGGGCTTCAAAGCTGTGAATATGAAAATGTATCAATTTGTAATGTGGAGGGGTGTTGAATTCTATGAAGCAGTCAGCTAACCCCCTCTCGAAGATTAATGATTGCAGACAGGTCCACAGCGACGAGGGAAACAATCCCGATTGTGTCACAAAGAATATTACATTGACATAGCCCGCGCCTGACAGCTAATGTGTTCTACTTCGGAACTAGCTCACTCACCAGTATGAATTTCATCACATGGTTCTTCACAAACAAATGGGATTCACAGAAAACCAGATGCATGATACTGTTCCATTAAAAAGTACTCATTGTACAGCATATTAATGCGATTGGAATACATTTTTTCCTTAGGACTGTGATTTCGTGGGTCCTGTGACATTTTAATTACACTATTCAGAGTATTGTTAAACTACTGTAGACAGACTCTTCGTAATCAGACTTCATCAAAATTAAACCCTTTAATCAAAGTAGAATAACTAGCCAATTAATAATGGTTCATACTTTGAAACCGAGCCACAGTTTAACTCAGGTTTAGGTTTGGCTGCATTAACACTTTGTATATGCAAAGCACCTGGCTTACTTTCAAATTTAATGCCACATAGATTTTGCATTTGTGCCAGTAACGCTGTCGAAGCTATAGCTTTTTTTTTTATCAGTAAACTAACATCTGGCTAAATTGTTTCTTTCCATTGCAGATGTACTTGAAGATTTTTCAGATATTTTTTAATATATTTTTTTAATTTAAAACAAAAAAAGATTTGTTCATTTCTTTTTTTTTTTTTTACATATATATGAATATGTACTGTGTAGAAAAGGTCTCTTCTCTTTCTATTTTAGGAATGGTTTGATGTACTTCCCCTACACAGTCTTCTTTATTCTGCAAAACACAGAGCAACAGGGAGTCTGCTTTAAGGGATTGCAAGGAAATGCATCTTGACTTTGTGGTTGACCACACTGTTCCTTGTTGCCCACGCAATTTGTTCTAGTCAACGACTTTGTTCTGTCCTGCACTGTTTAACATAGACTCCCAGAGCCCTCCTCTGAGTGTCTGAGAGAGAGTGAGAGCTACTGAGTGCTACCAACCGATTCCAGATGGCTTCCACAATGTAGGGCTCAGAGGATGAGCGCTGAAAAGAAGATTGATTTCCTTTGTGGAGTATGACAAGCCATGCACTGGAGCACAGCTCTCCAGACACACAAAGGGAGGCTCAAAAAACACATTTTAATTTTTCTTTTTTTTTATGATATCAATCTACTTTGTAGTAAAACTACAGACAACGCTGTTCTGATGGGTTTTTTTTTCCTCTCTCTGTTGTCCCGAACGAGCTGATATGTGCATTCATGAATTTCTGCCAGCTTTTTGCCTTTTTTGTTAAATTCTATTTTACACCTTTTCGATCAAAGTCAGCAGAGAGTTTGTTCCACCTTTCTTTCCTATCTGTTAATCAGTTCAACAGTTTATGAATGTAACTTAAATTTTGGTCAAAAAGAAGGATAAGGATTGGACATAAATGAGACCTAATTGGAAATCTAGCAAGAAACCCCAGACTTTTATCCACCCATGCCTTTGCGTAACATATTTTTCTTTCGCTGTTTTCAGACCTTGCTTCGGGATAGTAAGAGAGAAAGCACTGTGAGCACACTCTATCTATCGCCTTCCAACATCGAGACTGGCCAGCAGATCATCTGTAAGGCGTCCAACAAGGCGGTGCCCAACGGCAAGGAGACCAGTGTCACCATTGACATTCAGCGTAAGCGCACTGCTGTTTTCTTTCCTGCCACGTCTCTCCGTGTTCTCCCCGAGTATTTTCCTAATTCATCTTTTGAGGTGATTTGTGTGTTTAAAAGACGTCTTCATCTAAACAGCATCATCAACTATTTGAGGGGTTTTTTTTATGTGTAGAGCTCCCAAACTCATGAATAATAGTGTTTTTTTGTAGGCTCTGGTGGGTATTTATAATTGCTTTCCATTTTGCTTTCATACCATCTAGATAGATGGATTAGTGATGCATCGCAGTCTTTCCTTGGCTATGATGAAACATCAAAAGGATCTGTCCATCTGAAATGGATTGAGGTTCTATTTTTTTTTTTTTTTGCTCCCACTACCTACCTGCTGTGACACAATGCAAACGCCCTCCAACTCTTTTACTTCCTCTTTCATGCCATCAATCTTTTTGATGAGAGCATCCACACTTTCCCTCCAAACTAGATCAAGTGAGCCCAGCGTGTAAAGCACATTCAGCCTCAATTGTGATGGAATTCATTTTTTTATTTTTATTCCGATCAAGAACAAACCACAATCTGAACAATGGGATTCTGCATCACTCACAGCCCAGTCAACACCATTAAGTATGACTAATAAAGCAGAAAATGCTATTTAGAGAGCCATTATGACTGACGGCTCCATTCTTTTCATTATGTGCATTGCATGAGGCAAGCACGGTGCGAGTGAGCACTGGCACAATTGGGCCATCTCAGGAACAGGAGTAAAAATCATTAGCAGTTGTTGGTGTTTGCATTCCTCTCAGTTTGTCCCCTTAATTAAAAAGTAACAAATTGCCATCCAGTCAGTGACGGAGGTCTTCCCGGTTGTAAACTGATTTGTCACCATGTATGATGATGGGCCGGTGCTAAACACCAGGCATCATCCAGACTTTTGAATATACGATTTAACCCTGAAAATAAAAGGAGCAGATTTCTAATTAGCGTTCCAAAAGGTCTTCTTTACACTTCTTTAGCACTGAGAAAATTTTTCACACTCCCAGATCAAACCGAGGCACAGCAGACTGTGTAGATCCAAACTGTAAAGGCTCCCCTTTTCCTCCTTTCGCACCCAGCCTGACCCCTCCCAACAGATTTGGCAGGTAGTGTTCAGCAATTCTCAACAGGGCCTTTTGGCGTTGGTTCAGCGATTCACTTCCAGAATAGAGTCCCCCTGTGGTATGAAAAAAACACTAATCAAACTTTTGATTTATCTGTGCTGAGTATCAATTTGCTTATCTTTGGAACGGATCACAAGATAAGTGGCTCAACAACAGCATCTGAAGCACATGTGCAAAAACAGAAGCAGCGAGACAGCACATTTAATCTATGAACACTTGATTGACGCTCCAACAAATGATGCGGACCGGCTACTTACACACGCACATCAATATATTGTGTTGTACAGATGATGATGGATGCTGTTTAAGCTATTTAAAAATGATTTGACACCTAATGCCTAACATAAGCTTGAGATGGCAACCATTTTGAACACAGTTAACCTATTAATGGCAGGCTGAACGAACAGTTGAGGGACAAACAGGAACTTTCAATATCAATCTGAAGCCTTTTTTCTTTGTTAGCAGATTCCACCTTGGAAAAGAAAACCAGCTTATAATCTTTTGTCTCTCTGAAAGTTGTGTTGCTTTAGGAGGTTTTTCTATTCTAAGTCTAGATGGACATTTGCCTGTTCTGGCATTATATTGTGACCTTAAACCTTTAATTCTCAAATGTAAATTTCTACTTTTTCATGAAACTCTGTATTGCACAACTTGCTTATAATCTTCTGATTTATAGTGCTAAAGTAGAGGTTCTCACATGCAAAAGGACTCAAAGATCAAATAGTTATAAAAGGTTCAATTTAAGGTAACAAAAAACAAGAAAATTAATTCAGAAAAGCAATTAAATACAAATTGGAAATTATTACTTGTGTAAGCCTGCTTTTGTCAAGGACTTTCTGTTTTTCTCAAACTGCCACTTTATATTTAAAATATAAATATAAAATTGTGTTGACTGCGATAATATTATGTGATCGGAAGACAAAAGGGCTGCAATGGTGTGGAGCAAGATCCTCCAGTGAAGGTCATTCTTTAAAGTACCTGAAAGCCACCACTAACAAATTGGATTATCTGGATAATTCCACAATTTCCAAGATAATTAGAGGGGTACTGAAAGAAAAAAAAATTCAATGGAAGTTACTTTTGATTTTTGACATAATTGGATTGTCATTTGAATTACTTGACCTGAATGTCTTGGATCAAATTGGAACTCACAAGTCCTTTGTAAGACAACCACTTTAGAGCGCTGTTCAAAAAGTATTGCATTAACCACTAAAACAAAATAGTTTTTTCCTGACTTACACAGCACAATGACTGAAAAGCACTCAGTTTGCATTCCCATTGTATCATGTCGGCTTCATTTATGCATATTACTGTGTCTTTGAGGCTGATGTCCAGGTTTAATGGCATAAAGGTCTCAAATAAAAACACTGAGGGGGACGTAAACATGACTTTAACAAAGCTGCACATAGTGGTTTGTGAGTGCTGGATTTAAAAATAACACATATTATCTAACACATTTGGAAATTGGGCAAGGCAAGAATTTAGCTCTGTTGACTCATCATTTTATGTGGCTTAAATATATAGTTTTCAAACAAGAGGAGCCTTTTACCCTGGTGTACTGTGAGTTTTACTGTGATCACAAAAGGGAGGATTATCCCGTTATCTAGTTTGCCGCTGGCATCAAATCTGGCATGTTAAATTTATGTTTCCAAAGTGTAATCGGAGTGTTACCTTTTAAAATATCCTTATTGGCTTTTCCAAACAAACATATTTTCCATATTTTGCACGTTTTATAAAAACTGATTTGTTCAAATAAAAAAATAAAAAATAGGTTTTTAATTTTAGTCCATGGTCTCCAGATCTGTTTTAATTGCAAATATATCTGAATGAATCCTTCTGGATTAGTTTGCTCTTTCGCTAAATTCTCATTATTAACAAAATACATGTTATATATATGGTATATGAGTTACTTCCTTATTATCATCACCATAGCTGAATCTTAGAATTTTGCAGAGTCAGAAGCTAATACTGCTTTTCATCCAAAGCAAAAAAGACCTGACAGAGGAGTACATTGCTGAATCTTTGCAGCTGGAGAAACCTCTTACTTCGCTCCACTTTACTGCTCTCTCAGTGAGCCTTTCTCAGAAAGATGAAAGCCATCACACTACTTATCAAGGCAATGGTACCTTCAGGAGCTTCCTGTCAGCCTGTGAAATAAATGAAACACTTGACAATTTTGCCTTTACAGTGGTGCCTGGGTGCTCTCTCTCTCGTTTTATCGGCAGAATCAGTCACGCTGAAGTATCCAGCAAAACAGTTTCATAATTGTTGGCAGTGTTAAGCGCTTCGGCTGGTCAACAAAAGAGCTCCCATGTACAAAATGTTCAAGACAAAGTGGTCTTAAAGTTGGAAGCTGTCAAATGTTCCTGTTGCTTCTTTTATTATACGATAATCTTAAATCAATCATGTCGAAATATTGCCATTGCTGTGTAATTCCAAGCTTTCAGCTTTACGATTTCAAAAATGCATCAATAAAAAGTTAATACAAATAAATTGTAGAACTTGGCGTAAAATTTTCATGTGCTCTTATGTGTTTTATAAATGGCACTGCAGCACATCTCAGTCCAATACGAAGGATAGGGGGGGATTAATGACAGTCTTTGGTGAACAGATGCTACAAATCTAAAAAGGACCCTGTTGAAGCACTGCATAAGCACTTCTGCCTCCTCGGACATCTGTCACTCTGGGCTAAATCTTTATCCTATCTTTGGTCAGAGGCGGAAAATATAAAAAAATCAAAGATGAGGATCTCAAGTTCATTCACATCAATTAAAGATTTGTCTCCGAAAGTTGATCCCAATAATGAATTTGAAGTGTGAGAGTTGGTGGCAGAAGCTCACCACCTCGGGTTTGCTTTATTTCCTGGCTGTCAAACATAAGGTTCACACTTTGTAAATATTTCTATCGACGCTGTCATCCAGCTATGTATTGACCATGCACAGATGGAATTGATATTGATGCTGTCGTCCCACTTTCAGCAAGACAGCAAACAGGCAAATCTTGCTAAATGCCATTTCCTGAGAGTGTGGATAATGTCCTCTGAACATTTCCCATTTTAGTAGCATTGGCTATTGCACACTTTGCCTTGAGTCAGTCCTGCTGTTACTTCACTAATTCATTCAAATTCTCAACCAAAGTCCCGCCGTCAGTTATTGACCATGTCACTGAGAAATAGCTCGGAAAAAACCCTCTCCTCACCATTTGTATTATGCTCATTTCTTTTTCACGCTAGCTCATTCTCATTACAATCCAAATTAAGGTAATCTAAACACAACTCAGCGGATTACTCTAAATTTAAACCAGTCCCCCCAAAAAAAACCATTAAACAGGCGAATATTCTTCTATCTCTGCTTTAATGCTCATGGTTTTATACCCAGCTCAGCATTTTCCTCCCCACCAAAGTTCAAACAGAGTTATCTGACCAAGGTCTTGACCAAATTAGCATCTAAATACAGTATGCACGGGTGATGTTGACAAAATGAAAGGGATTTTGAAGTTGATTCAGAACTCTGGATAGACTGCTGACATCAGTTGTCCATACCATTCCATTAGCTGACTGTAATTATTTGATAGCAGATGGGTTTCTACCCCCTGATGCTGTTTTCTCCAGCAGCAAATCTTCACATGCATTCCTCCGTTTGGACTCGAATCAGAAAATTTCCCCACCACCGTGTAATGCTGTAGGGAAATATGTCACGGATGCCACAGTTTCATGTGCAGTTAATTCCCTCTCATCACATGATTAAAAATATTCCTCAAATATTTTCTAGTGCAGTTGCATTTCTACAGAGCAGTGCCCCACATAGAGGCATGCTTTGAAATGCGTAAGGGGGGAATTAATGCACCGGGGACCGGCAAAGCCAAGGTTCCCTGTGTGTTTGCATTGCAAACAAGCTGAGCCATGTGTGGGGAAAACGAATGCCATTTGTTGAGACTAATTAATATAGAACATGCAGATGTGCAATTGGGAAGGATTTGCTTTTGGTAGCTTGCTCAGCTACATGCTCTCCTTGCTTAATCAAGCTGATAATAGCAAATTCATCTAGGATAGAATCAGAGAGTTTGAGGGAAAGAGTATTTGGGTAAAAGGGAGAGAAGCAATGATCTTGCATTTATAAGAAAACTTTATGCTCACAGACATATTTCAACACATATGTGCTGCTCTACTGCAGAACATCTGCCGTAATTAATTTGAGAAAAGTCTGAGTTTACTCAAGTGGTTATCTTATGATCAATATGTTAGACCTCAAGTTGTCCGTCAGTCTGTTCTCCCCTGAAGCATCCCACTCAGCCAGCCATATGACAATGTGTCCATATTACGGAGGCTATAATCCACAAGTGAATTGTCCACAAACAGCTTCGCACTCCTTCGGAAGCATCCAGCAATCCTGTAGTTTGAGGCAGGTCCTGCTGGAGAACAGCTGTCTACAATGACCCGGGGAGATTGGAAATTGAGCTTTAAGAAAGGGAAAAAACAATTTGTTCTGGCACAATCTCCAGGAAAGAGAGAAGTTGGAGTATTGTTCCAAAAAACACCATCTGGTCCTTACTTTGAACTAACCGATCAAAAGCTGTCAGACGACTATGACGCCTTTTCCCCCATTCATCCTGTTGTTCTCACTGAAGCTCTGATGGGTCTTGTAATTCTCCCCGTCTGTCCATTCATCCAGTCTTCCCTCACAGTTACACTCTAGAGAAAAAGTGGGGGATTAATCCTTAAATATTTATGTGTCATCACTTGATGCCTCAAATGCATTTTAATTTTTAATCAAAGTAAAGTGGACTTCATTATGAAGTTTATAGGCATCGTATCATCAGGGTCAAAGGCTACAAGTTCCTTATATACAGAGACAGACTTCAGACACCTACAGCATCTGTCTTTAACTGTGGCTTCAGGAGTTATCAACAAATGCAACTCACCATGACACTACCTCTTGCTCAGACGACCGGGGGGAAGTGGGTCCAATGAAGGCTCAGTTCAAGCATTTGAAAAGAACATTGATTTTGTGCAAGATTTGAAAGTAATGAGCAATTTTGTCTTTTGAAGTCTGTTGGTGCCTGGAAAAGGATGGCGTGATTAAAACGTTTTCCAAAACGAGGAATTTTACTACAAATCGTTTCTTGCTTAGTTTCTGCTTTGATATGTGTGATAGAGCACACACACAAGCTTCAGAGCCCCCTTCCTATCTCCTAATGCGTTCCTTTATCGGTTCCATTGCAAACTCTTGCTCTATTTGAATTGCCACCACACACCTGCACACTTTGGCCCACAGGTTCCCTCTGCCCACACTTCTGTCTCTGCAATTAACTGCTCACAATGCGAAAAACACCAGCGAAGCAGCTAAAGCTATTGCTCTTGGGGTGGATAAGTTTCCCATTTTACTGCGCCACGCACCCCTGTCCTCTTTCATATGTGCACAACCCCCCCCCCCACACACACACTCAAACAACCCGCACCACTCAGAAATACACAGTCACACTGCTGGCTGAGCAGTACCCGGGGAGACCTGCTGGTTGATTGTGGCCTTCGGGTCTTCAGTGTTCCACAGTGTTGTTGTTTTCTTTACTGGCCTGGGGAGAACTGGCACAGGTGGAGCTCATGGGCTTCAAGGTGGTAGAGCGGTTGTTGGTGGAGGGGGATGCAAAATTGTCCTAGAGCGGGAATTGTTGGTCTGGTGATGGGGAATATGGTGTGTGAGTGGGATGGAATGTGGCACCTGGACCACGTCCTCTCTAGGGCCTTGTGGCAGCTGAGCCAGCCCAGAGCATCTGCACAGCCACAGGGTAATAAGCAGTTCTCCTACATTTCATGCCCACACACACACATGCTTACAGAAACACGCCATAACTATACACATAGTGGCACAGAATTTGGCTGCATTATACTGGCGTGTGTATGTGTGTGCTTCTTCAATTCTCTGTGGATGTTAGCACTCACTGCAGCGCATTTCATCCACATCTCTGCCATAGTACCTGGTTCGTATGAGAGTGCTCTGTAACTGAGAGCAGATATGTCTTTGAAACAGATGGCTAGTTTCAAACCTGAGCAAATACTCCCATATGACTAGTTCACTGTACGTGGTGCCTCACTGCAAAGCTACGGGTGCCAAAAGAAAATAAAAACTATACTTAAACCATTACAGGTTCAAACCAGCTCTAATTCTGATTCCCCCTTGTTTCTTTTTTAGCCTCTTAACAAAACACACGTTCCATCCTTTTAGAAAAGCTGACAAATAGCTCTACCTGCTTGAAATTCATCCTCCGAGTCAGGAAGGTAAAGAGCTGTTTGTTTCACATGGGACAGGATTGATATGGAAATGAACATGTACCTTCAAAAAGAATCCCACCTTTGTCAATTAGGATAAATTAAGTTGTTTACTTTATTTGCATAATCTGAATATTTGTAACTGTAAGAACTGTTTTAATTGTAGTTTATCACTGAGGTGGTTCATTGTTTTCATGGCATGGATTACACTATGGACTGCTCTCTGTTTGTAAATTACCATTTAGTGGGGCTCATTATCAGTTCATGTTTTCCTTTGGTTTGCTCCCCATGGATTAGATAATGAACATATGGGAGTAAAAACAGCATGTTCTAGCTCACACCTGTGGAGAAACACTACAGTGTTACTCGACAACATAGGCTTAGACCCATGGTGGGCTGCGGGGATATTAAAATAAGACTTTGACTCATGCAGGAAAATTTGCCTATTATTTGGAAGATAATCCTGCCACAAACTGAGATACGTTGTCACAACTGCTCTAAGCTCTGCCTTAGTGTACTTTAAGATTATGACAATAACAGGTCGGCTTTTAGTGGATCGCATTCACCTACATGACAGCACGTGTGATACTGCCACATGAAAGGCTGCCACATCACAACGCATTTGGAAAATCTAGGTCTTCTGAATAAGACAGAGAACTTGTTTTACCCGAGAATCCTTCTTTCTTTGCTCTTTTGTACAGTTTTGACACTATTTATGAAATGTCTGTGTTGTCTCCCCTAAATTTGTAAGCTATTTCTGTTTCATGTAGTCAGACGCGTGTCAACAGCAAAGTGCCTAGCCCGGGCTTACTGTTCAGCACATCGTGTTTGAGAGGGCTGAAAGTCGTATAATTGGTTGTCTTTGTTTCTCTTTCTTTTTACAGATCTCCCGCTTGTCAATCTCTCAGTGGAGCCTCAGCCTGTTCTGGAGGGCAACCTTGTGAAATTCCACTGCTCTGCAAAGGCCAACCCTCCTGTTACCCTCTACAGGTGAGATCATAAAGAAGAAGCGTCTCCACTGTGCACATAAGTCATGCACAAACTGTGAGAGATTACATAACATATAGGAGGCCGAGAAGCAGAGTTAACTTACAATGAGTTTTTTTCTGATCGATGTAGCTGCTGGATAATCATTTTCACATAGAGTCAAATTTAATGCTCAATATTGGTATCATTAATCACTGTCAAACCCCTTCTTATGATGCCATGACACCATTACTTCTACTCATACTGTGAAATGAGAGAACAGCAAAACAATGAAACAAAGCTGAAATGTGTGCAGAATTGGAAACACACCACATTAAAAAAAAAGATCATTTGGGAAACCTTGTCATGTTCCAGTGGGCTGCTGTAAGGGAATACACTGCTTTGTTGCACAGCTGTTGGCTTTGTGGTCACATCATCTCCCTTTGTCAGTACAGTTTTCAGAGGAAAGCTGAAAAATAAATTGCATCACATCTAAAGAAGATGTCAATCTTTTTTTTCTTACTGCTTTTTTTAATTCTAAAATTAAGACAAGAAGTGCTCCGGGGATATGTTGCTGTTTGTGGTCTTTTGGTGGATTAGCTCGAGCTCGTGCTTTCTTACTTTAAGCATGTGATTATATTAGAAACCATCTATTGTTAGGAAAGCACTGTCTCCACAGTCTTAGTTCCGTGGAATGTGCAAATGTTCTAAAAATTATTCAGTTCACAAATTGGACATGAAAGAGCAGGTAGCAGGCACACTGCAGACCGTGAGGCAAATTTTTCCATCTGATAACTAATCCACATTCCCATGACCAAAATATAACTATTATTGCTACTGCTCTGGAAAGCTATTGAGTGGTGGAGGACAGAGATGTAGCATGCAGCTTGGAGTTGTTATTGCCTTTTTAAAAGTACAAAGACTACAGATTTGAGATATGATTTTTAAAATCACCACAAAAAAAAAAAATATATATATATATAAAAAGCAGTGGCTTTTCCACAGGTCATGCAAGAATACTCTTGACTGTCATTGAAAAACATTTGACTGACTTATAGATTACTGTTCATTATATGAGTGGGCTTCGTCCGCTTTTTATTTGATCTTCAAAAAGATTAAGGACAGATTGCGGTGTGTGTTTTCAGCATGGCTTTTATGTGCGGCGCACAGACGACAATGGCTTATTTTAGTTCATACTTTTCTTGTTCCAAAGCACACCAAAACACGCCTTCATGAAACATGAAACACATATTTTATGGGATGATTTTCCTCTGCTAAATTAATAAGCAACTAAATAGAAACACAGTGGAAAAAAACACACGAGCCGGAGCTCTTGTTTCCTTTTCTGTCCACTTGCTAGAATTACTTTCTCATCATTTCCGTCTTACGTTGGTTATTTTAAACAAGCGAGTAACGGACATTTAGTAACGCCCTCTTCCACGGCCCTCCACAAGCTGAACACTGAAGTGATTTGTCAGGAGATCTGCTCCCAGAGTGGGAGGGTTTTTTTTCTTCTTCTTTTTTTTTCTTTTCAAATCAGGCGAAAAATAAATGGAGCCAAATTGATTGGAAAGGGAATCGGCTGACTCTGAATCTTGTAATGTTACTGGGAAATGAAATGGATGTACAGCGCACTACGGGTGGCAAAACAGAGATGTTGCCTTTTTTGATGGATCGTGCCCTTTTGAAAAGGAAAAGGCGGAGGTAGGCCAGTGATATTGTGGAAAACGAGGTTTGTATTTGATTATGTGGGTGCACAGCAGAGACAGAACGTCTATTTCACCTGCAAAGGGATTTCACCTCTATTGTTAGGGGAGTGGATCAATGCGAGAATCAGACCTCTCCACGGGGTATCAAGAGCTAAGACTCGGAGGTAGTTGAGATGGTATTTTCTTTTAGTTTGACAGTTTGCAGAGTGAAAAATTGTTAAAGGTTGAAGCTAAAGGGAACCGATGAACCCCTTCCCCACTCCAATTTATTTTTACCCTTTCTGTGTCTTTCCTGTCACAGCCTCTCTGCTGCAGCATTAATCCAGCGTAGGACCGGAATTAAAAAGTCAGACTAATAACTTTTGATGCTTCAAGGCTGAACTCTTCTGCAGATTTTCATAGTCTCCCATTTAGATTTATCTGCAGATTATACAAGCACTTCAGGACTCCCATGCACCACTGGTGTTCAGGACGTACTGGATGGGGAATTTTTGGCCTCATAATGCCTGCCTGAGGGACTTCAACTCCAAGCCCCCACAAAGTCCCCTCAAGAGAGCAATATCACAGGAGCCCAGGAAGCTGGTCAAGCAGTGTGGGGTCATTATTCAGTGCTAATACAGTCTGTCTACCCCAGATCAGATAGAGCACAGGGACAGAGTAGTTCTCAGACGGATGGCCTCTTTTCCATTCCCAAGAGAGCCATCCATTTCCAATGAGCACTGCACCACTCTGCCATCTTCCAATTCAATAGGCACTGGAGACACAGGCCGAGGGTAGTAGTGGGTGCTCCTCAAAGGGATGGTCCCTCCTGCTGTCTGTACCCTGTTGTGATTACCACAGTGCTATAATAAATCAGAGATAAGACATGAGGATGGAAATAAGATGTATTCAGACAGACACCTCAACTTTCCCAGATCACAGCTCGAGTGAAGAGTAAAGAAGTTAAATGGAGGGGAGAGATTTGGAAGGGGAAGATGAAAGTGATGGTGAAGTGCCTAAACTAAGTAAGAGTAATCGGCACGTGTTTGAGTCAGCACTCGGGGAGACGACATACTGTGGGTGGGGAAGACATATGGGTTGGAACATCTTCATTACTGTTTATAATGGTAGGAGGAGGAGGAGGAGAAGGGAAGAGAGCTCACAAACATCACAAGCACTCAGCCACCAACGGATGAAGACGCAGAAGATTTCCTCAGATCCAAATGAGAACCCACTAGAGAGAAAAGCAAGAATAACAAACAAAGAAAACCAGGTCTCTCATTTGCGCACAACTATAAACATTAAAAAAGAGAGAGAAAATAAAGAAAAAAACCTTGAGTGACTGAAAGGCACCCTGACTGAAAATTTCAGTGAATATCCTAGCAAGCAGAGGACTATTCTCACAACAAGAATGGTGAAAAATACTGCATTTTTGTAATATTTCAATCAAGAATCTTTTTCTTTTTCACCATTATCTCTTTGTGATGCTCTGAGTTATTTTCAAGAAAATTTTTGGTATGTTTGGAGGCTATGTGCGGTCAGATTTTAGTCCAACCTTTTTGTCCAATCAATCCTCTGGCTTGAAAATTTAAATAAAAACAAACAATTGGTCATCGGTCTTTCACCTCTTGTATGGTCAATTTTAACTCTGACAAGTTGAGTAAAATACAAGCAAAATTACTTTTGGAAAAATTAGTCACTCCCTGTTTACCTCTGTACCTTTCAACGACTGATGTTTTAATAGCTAATGTCCACACCAAATTGTCTCTCTTTGTCTTTCAGTGAGATTTAGTGCTGCGAGCAGATAATCTGTAGACCTTATCACAATTTCTGAGGAGCTCATAAAATAGCACAGCAATTTAAACCTGTTCTGACTGCATTCTATCATTAAGCCTGCGTACTTATTTTACAACACACAGAGATAAGTCATCACTTTCAATATGTGAGGACGGCAGAATCGAACCACACCGTGCTGTGCTTAACCATGCTGATAATAACTGTAAGGCCTGATTTACTGAGTCTTGAAGCCGATGGCACAGATACCTGCCTAATTTAATTGTTTCTCTTTTATTGCCTTAATCACATTGAGCAAATACACCCCCCTCCTCCTTTGTTACCACCCCCCTTCCACGTAACTTTCATCCTCTTCTTCCATTAACAGCAGACCTTTTATCTGCTGAAGAGTTTAAGCTTACACACAATGAATGTGCTAACACTCACAGTTACATGAAAAGTAAAACATGAAGCATCTTAAGTGTAAAGGTTTTACACTGGTAACAGCTACAAACTTAGATGTATACAGTCTGAAATAAAAACATATTTTCCTTGATGTTTCCTCAGTTTTCCTCTTGCCCTACCTCTGACGCTTATGTCGTTATCTCAAGTAAAATTTGTCAGGATAATGGCCCTATATTTAACTCTAGATTGCTCAGGAGTTCATGACTGTTTCAATGGCTACAAGTTACCCAATGTCTGTGGCTGTAAAACAAGCCCATACCATCAACCCTCTACAACCGTGCTTAACAAATGTGCCTTTATTGATATGCACACTGCATCTGCTTTCTGGTAAAGTTTTTGTTTACTAATTACAGTGTGATGAAATGAGTGTGAATCTGATGTCATGTGCCTGTTTTGTTATTTTTTGCCTTTTTATGACGCCATAGTGTGCGAAAACCTTTAAAAGGGTACCTGAATGATGGTGGGCGGTCTTTTATAACTCGACCTGCAGACACAGACACTCAGAACTTTGCGCAGACACACCGGGGCAGCAAGGATTCCCACCCTTTGAATTTGAATCAAATTCCTGAATAGGACACAGTGGCGTAGAGTGAGTCAGCTACTGTGTAAGCTTGCTTTGGCCCTCCCACCCTCCCATAGGGAATGCAGGTGTTTGTGTTACTCTGAGCCAGCTATGTTTAGACACGAGTTTTGGACGAGGCCCAGCACACCAACAGATCTCCCTCGCTCCCTGAGGACGACAGCGTTCTGTCTCTTCCCCCTCTAACAATGTCAAGGGCTTCCAAACCTGGCAGCTGTAATCTCCTCTCGGGAGCAGCCAGCAGCCCAAACATCTGGGCTTACCCTGTTACGACTCCTGTGTTCTGAGCTGATAAACTGTATGTGGAAACAGTGACATACCGTTTGTGTTAAATCTGTCATGACTGGCTAAACGACTTGGAAAGAATATAAAGTAACACAAAAAGTTAGAACTGGAGCTTTAACAACTGATGTTTAAAGTCTAAAGTTTTGAAGCGTGTCAGTCAATTATTACTGGTTGCAGTGGTGATTGGTAGGCATTAATTCTTGGGTGAGGAGTGTGCAACAGAAGCAAAGATTAAATTCAGGTGTGTGGTTTAAAGGGGAAGGAGTTTAGCTCCTCCAATAATGGGAATAGCTGGCCCCACTCTTCCCAATGCTAAAGGACTCATCCCAAATATAAGACATAGACCAAGTCAGGAAATAAAGAAAAGTAGAACTATCACAATATCATAGAGAGTTCCACTTGAAACCACAACAGCAAACAATTATCTGTAGCATCGGTCTTTATAATCAGAGCTATAATAATTTCAAAAAGAATCTCTAACAGAGCTTTTTTTATTTTTTCCAATGGAACTGTGATAAAGCCTTAAAACGTTTCACAAAAAACAATCTGGACTCAATAATGTTTTAATCAGTTTAGATCCATTAGTGTCACTGTATTAACAAGTGAGTACTGATGTCTCATTATCTTTATCTGTGAACTAAGTGCCCTTTTGCCGAAATATTGAAAAACACAAAACAATCATACATGGGGTCGAGAATAGTTGGCTTCGCCTCCTCCAAGAGCAAGAATGTGCTTTGAAATTTATCAGCAGTTCTTGTCGGCGACAACAGCGTCATTTTCACCATCTTATTCATCACCACCATAAACGTGTCACAAATGTCACATTAAATGTCACAAATGTGATTAATGTCCTATTCACCATTTCTATCTTTATCACCTGAGTCACACAAACTACAGTGGAAGCGTTCCTAACCAACGAGAAAGTGCTGTGAGCACTAACTTTCACAATAGTTACTTTGTGTTCCCCAATGTAAAATCAACTTTTGGTTTCTTGTACTGATGTTTCATTTAGCTATACTACAACCGAGACAGTGCAACCTTGGGTATTACATCTACATTGCATTCTCCATCCAAGATATTTGGTGTAGAAACACTACTCAGTCAGACAGGCTAGATAGCCTTGAAACACCCATATGCCCTGATTTCAACATTTTTGGAAACACAGGTGTTGCAACACTCCCCTTGTCACATAACGGCCAAGCTCTGAAAAGATTCACTGCTGAGAATAAATGAGCATGAAAAAAAATCCCATGAAGCCCAATTAGAATTCTGCTTCACTTCACTTACTGATTGAATGAGGTAATCTGTTCTCATTTAAATGATAGCATTTCAGTCAAGCATGGGGCCAGCTTAGTCATGGAAAACAAATGAGTCCCCTATCCCATGAAAAACTCTTCTCGGTGCTGGCAGGGGTTTCAGAATGGAAACAGCCACCGGTGCTGTTGTCACCATTTTCATTTGCCACATCAGCATGCAGCCACATGTCTATTGTGAAGGTTTTCGGCGTGCCTGATTCATTGTGAGTCCCGCAGCACCGTCTAAATTTCCCAGACCCGACACATCCACAGATACCTTTGCTTCATTTTTATAAATGGGCCTTGTCTGTCGCAGCAGCAGAGAGCCATCTACCCCATGCGGAGTGAGACGCAGCTGTCCGTGACATCATAAAACGTCTCACCTAAACATGTGTGGAGTGCCACAGAAGCCATCAGTCACAAAAACAAACAGATGTTTTTTTTTTTTGTTTTTTTTTTTTACATTGTCCCGAGTCAATTTATTAATGTCAGCTGTTGTGTTTAATACAGTATGTGTCAGGCAATGTCTTCAAAGCTGGAGGAGCTACCCATTTGTCATTCTGTGATTTGTTTTTCTTTGCCTGCACTCTGTGCTGCACTCTATGTCTGGTGTAATGAGGAACGTGCTGTCTGCTACGAGTTGCCAGAGAGCTTGTCACAGCATGGAGGGCTGCCATGAAAATACGCTGAAGCCAGCACAGAAAACCTGCCCCAGAATTATGATTTATCTGCACAAAAGAACATTTTTGACACAAGGGGATGTGGAAACCTGTTGTAACGTTTTTTAATGTATTTTTCTCCTTTCCCCTTTTTCCCCATCATTCTTCTCCATCTTTACTTTTTTGTGATTTCGCTCCATTTATCAGGTGGGCCAAAGGAGGGAGCATAATTAAGGAGGTGTCTGGAGACACGTATGAAGTGCTGGTGGACCACTCCTTCTTCACAGAGCCAGTTTCCTGTGAGGTTACCAATGCTCTGGGCAGCACCAACATCAGCCGCAATGTCGACGTCTACTGTGAGTAGCTCTCAAAGTGGTCTTGTATGCGTCTCTGTAATGCCGGTGGTGAGATAATGCGAGTTTATGGACGTTCGCTGTCTTTTATATTTTATTGCTGAACTCCGAGCTGGAGCCACAACAGCTGTCGATCCGTTCTGGATGTTTCACAGCAAGTCAATCATGTTTCTTTCAATAGTTGGTCCTCGCATGGCTGCGGAGCCTCAGTCCTTGCAGGTTGACCTTGGATCTGACGCCGTCTTCAACTGTGCCTGGACTGGAAATCCATCTCTCACTATAGTGTGGATGAAAAGGGGCTCTGGAGTGGTGAGTATACAGAGTTGCCCATATCAGATAAAGTCTATTTTCTGCTGTAAATAATCATCCGCTCAAACTGTGGAGGTGCTGTGATTATAGAACTTTGTTAGTCCTTACTATGTACTCCTGGATTTATTCCATGCTAAAACCATGAGCTCCTAGATAAAAGAAAAAAAAACATTTGTTCCAACCTCTTGCTGACCTGCACTCACATGAGATCCTTCCATTTGATCCATAAATTCAAACTCATTCCAGCTTTTCTTTTGTCAACATCAGAGGCCAAAGCCTTTTTCTGCTCAACCCAGACCCCAAATTGGATTTTAATAATTGAGAAGAGGTGCCCTTTCAGGCATTAAATGGCCAATGTGTTTGCCCTGGTTTTTGGCTCGGCATTGCTTTCCTGCCACCACAAATTCAGAAGTTCTTTCCCAGCTATCACATCTGATGATCTCTGACCTTTTTTTGGCTGCAGGTCCTTAGCAATGAAAACCTCCTGACGCTGAAATCTGTGAGGCAGGAGGACGCTGGGAAATACGTTTGCCGTGCTGTGGTCCCTCGTGTTGGGGCAGGGGAGAAGGAGGTCTCTCTTACCGTCAATGGTAAGTCGTGTCAGTGATGTCTTTCATTCAGCAAAAAGGTTCTTGATGCACACCCACAAAAAATGATCAAATTTACAACACATAAGTTTGAATTTTGAGGTCTGGGGTCAACAGTGGTAAGAAGAAAGTACTTTGTTAGACGAGTCAATATTCTGTTTTCCCCCAACTTTAACGAAGCCTCCCAACATGATACCTGACTCCACGTGCAAAAGTCTTTTGAATTGAATGTTATTCTCTCACCGAAGCACTTCATTTTGCCAACTAGACATTGCTCCCAAACACAAACCACCAAATATGGCAAAGGAGCAAGAAGTGAAAGCATCTGCACACATTTGAATGTTCTGAACAAAAGTCACATGGTTAAAACACAAGGACTCCATTTGCTTTTGTGATTATGAGGCCTTTACATATAAAAAGAAACGGAGTAAATATAAACAGCATGCCCCAAAAAGTATTTTTGCAGGATATGCTTGCACATTTCATAAACAGGTGAAATGTGCTTAAATGCTAATTAGATTCCGCATGAGTCACAGGGAAGCTGCCTTTTCTGAGGCGCTGACTGACTAATGAATACCAGCCTTGGTGGGAGACCTGGCAACTCTCAAACAAATGACTTCATTATCAGTGCTTGATATTCATGGAGCATGCTTCAGTGTGGCAGAGGTTCTTAGTTGTGGGATTTACATGTTTCTTATTTTCCCCGTGTCCATCTAAAAGAGGCTTGTGCCAAACTAAAAGACAGAGGGAGAGAGAAAGGAGGGGTACACCAGCAGCATGATGTAGAATTAATGTTCACAGTGTACCGCTGCACATTTTTAAAGCTAACAAAAGAGTTTGCCTCCAAGCAACACTCATGCTGATTTGGGTATGAAGATACATCAACTGGCAAATAATGTGTTTATAGGTTTTCTCTTTGAAAATCCAGATGCTGGCTCTGCATATCAGAGAGAACAGGATACCGCTATTCCCTCCAGCTAAAGATCAGAACTGTGACTTTCTGCGAACTACCAGGAGCCCTCTCATTCTGAGGCAGGAATTAAGTTGAAATCCAGGCATAAGAGGAAAAATTATAGCTGCTCCTATTGTCTCTTATTCCTTTTGGAGCAACCTAGACTGGCATGTCTTTTCAGCCCTCTTATTTACAAGGAATGCATTATAGCCAGCTTATCCATTTTGTTTGGATGCATCTCTTTTCACGTAACTATGGAGATGCTGATGTTTTTTTAAATTCTGTCATTGGAAAAATATGATAGACTGCCTAAATAAAGATTACAACGCAGCTCAGAGCAACCGGGACGCATGCAACAAAACTCAAATCACATATTTATTTGGTCGCTATACATGTCATTTAAGTGAATTCCTTTCAGTTGTTTGATTTGTTCACGTTCTTTGTTCCTTCCTCTGTCCTTTGTGTCATTCAAAACCATTGCTGAAATGTCATTCAACATTCAAAGCTTGCCGCAATTTTTTTCCCCTTTTTTTTATAGCACCTTTAAATAATTGAAATTCCATTTTTTTCATGCCACACAGGGAATCTCGACTCAGTTGTTACCCAAACCTTCAGGCAAATCAGATTCTCAAACACGTCGTGAATGCACAAACGCTGTAGTGGTGGCACGTTGGCTGCCGTCTCCTGAGGTTCATTGATTGTCCCGTGCCACTATCTCAGCGACAGATTAACCTGGGCGCCTTGCCTCTCGTCGGCCTCACAGGCCCACATCGCTGACAGTCAGATGCACTCAATTGATTCTGAATGTGAATTACTAAGATAACAGATGAGTGAGGTTTGTGCCTTTTCTAAGGAGGGCGACCATCGCGCATTAACGAGTTTGAGCAACAGCGTGTGCGCTCACGCCGAGCGTCCGTGATGCGACGGCGTCTGTTGCACGTTTGAACGTTTCCGTGCTTGTTTGATTTCCCCGCAGTTATCCCCAGATTCCTTAAAGCCATCATTTAAATTACATGTGTTTATAATTTGTCATTCCCTCTGTCTGTCTCCCTCAGTCGTTCTGTGTCACTGGCTCCCACTGTGGCACACCACATAGACATGAGGGTTTTTCTTTCCCTGGGGAAGAATGTAATTTAATTATAATCAAACAGCTAGCAGGGGAGGCAGTTTGTGTTGAAGTCACTAATGGATACACATTGCCAACTGCAGTCGTAACATTTTTTTTAGAAGGGAAAGCTTCTTGGTGCTTCACGTTAGGTTGTCAAGGGTCCGCACACAAGAAGGAGGGATGGGTACTTTCTGTGTGGGATAATTTAGATTTCATACTGTGAACCCAGCACTGTGTCTCTTTTACTCTCCCATC